TTTCTGATGCATCTTTCTAATTGTTTCAATCATGTCATAATTTTTTATAAAAGATCATGAGTACTTAATTTATTTATATTAATTCAATCCATATTATTTTTATAAAGGTTAAAAATGTCAGATGTTAACTCTGAAGACCAGTTTAACTCTGAAGCACCCGTTAACTCTCAAGTACCATTTGAGAGTGACGCGTCACAACATTCATCGCCAGCTACGAACACACCTACGAACTCACCGTCTCCCTCTCAATCAACATGTTATTGATTTAGAAGATCTAATACTACTTGTGGAGGAACTAAAAGAAAACCTAGTATGTGTGGGAACATTTTAAAAAACAACAAGTGAATGGGGTGTGGAAGGCAATATGTAATTATTGTAATAAGCATCTTGGAGGTGATTCAAAAAATGGAACTAGGCATTTGCATGATCACCATAAGAGTTGTACTAGGAAAAAAGTGATGGACATGAGGCAAAAAGTGTTAACTAACAACTTTAGTAGAGAGATTCCAAAAATGAATTCTTATATCTTTGATCAAGATTTTGCTAGGAAAGAGTTGTCACATGCCATAATCTTGCATGAATATCCCCTTTCTATCGTAGACCATGTTGGTTTTAAACGATATTCAGCAGCACTTCAACCATTGTTTAAAGTGCCTTCTCGAAATACGATAAAGGGTGATATTTTAAAGATTTATGATTATGAGAGGGTGAAGACATTGAGTTTGGTGGAGCATAATAAAAGTAGGGTGGCAATCACAACTGATATGTGGACTGCTAGCAATCAAAAGAAATGATTCATGGCTGTCACCGCACACTTTATTGATGATTCATGGACATTGCAAAGTCGCATTTTGAGGTATATTTTTGTAATTTTGCAAATCATTTAAAAATTCTATCTTATTCAGTTCAATTTGCATATTAATACTTGTTTATGAATATCATATTTTAGGTTTATTTATGTTCCATGTCCACACACAAAAGACGTTCTTTGTGATACTTTGCTTGAGTGTTTGATGGATTGGAATATTGATAGAAAAATCTCGACTGTTACTGTTGATAATTGCTCCACAAATGATGCCATGGTTACCATGTTGATGGATAAGTTAAGTAATTCATCTCTTTTGTTGGGTGGTACTTTGTTTCATATGCGTTGCTGTGCGCATATTTTGAATTTGATAGTGAAAGATGGATTGGATGTCATTCGAGTTGGTGTGGAGAAAATTCGAGAAAGTGTAGCTTATTGGACAGCAACACCAAAAAGAGTAGAAAAATTTGAAGAAACAGTCAATCAATTGCGTATTCCACATACTAAGAAATTAGGACTTGATTGTGCAACTAGGTGGAATTCGACCTACTTGATGCTTCAGACAGCCTTATTGTATAAGGATGTCTTTTCTAGGTTGAAAATTAGAGAGCCCCAATATAAGACTGTGCCAACTGAGCAAGAATGGGAGTTTGCTAGAGAGATTAGTGGGAGGTTTAAGATTTTTTTTTCTATTACTGAGTTGTTTTCTGGTACAAAGTATCCCACAGCCAATGTTTGTTTCCCAGCTTTATGTGAGATTAGGATGACACTGTCTCAATGGCTCTCTTGTGAAATTGAAGTGATCAGAACAATGGCATCAAAAATGGTGGAAAATTTTGATAAATATTGGTTAGTGATACATGGTGTTATTGGGGTTGCAGTTGTACTTGATCCTAGGTATAAGATGAGTGTATTGGAGTTTTATTTTGAAAAACTTTATGGAGACAAAGCTGAAGATGAAGTTGATAGGGTTCGTCATATTTGTTATGATTTGTTGCAAGAGTATCAGCACCGAGTTGGTATGGAGACTGATGTTGTTGTTGGTGACTCTTCTGCTCATCCAGAAATTGTTACAGAGACCCTTTCTGAATTTGATTTGTTTATTAGTAGAAAGAGAAGTAAAAAAATGAGGAATGTAAGATCAGAGTTGGACCATTATTTAGAAGATGATGTTTTGCCGAGAACTTCGGGTTTTGATGTTTTGAATTGGTGGAAAGCTAGTGGACCGAAGTATCCGACTTTACAGGCAATAGCTAGGGACATTTTAGCTATTCCTGTATCCACTGTTGCTTCTGAGTCAGCATTTAGTACTAGTGGAAGGTTGGTGAGTCCACATCGTAGTAGACTTCATCCAAACACATTAGAAGCATTAATGTGTGCACAAAGTTGGTTGTGGGGTGAAGAGATGAAAGGTATTATTTCATCCAATTTACATATTATTATTTCACTTTTTATTATTTATATTACCATGGAATAATTTCACTATTGAATTTATATTCTTTACTTTTTAGGAAATTCAACATTGGAATCGGTGGGCTATGCAACTATATATGATGATGATGAGATCGATTCAGATCAGTCATGTGCCACTTTTGTGTTAGTTGTCATCTTTTTTGTTTTAATTAACATTTTTTACATTTTATTATTAATATTAATTATTTGTTTTTTTTTCTTTTGTTATTTAACCGGAATTCAAGTTGAAGGAGATGATGGAAGTTGTGTGGTTTGTATGGATTTGAAGAAACAATGGATTTGTTTTTTTATGTTGTAATGGATATTTTTTTTAATTTTTAATTTCAATTTTTGGGTAACCTATCCTTTGCGGGTTGTGCTTGGGATTAATTATTCTCTTTGCTACTTGTTGAATTTTCTTGTGTGTGGGCTGCTGGACAGATATTTTGTTTATGGGCTGCTGAATTTTTGCTACAGGATGTTCTCAATCAGTGATTAGGTAGTTGTGATTCACAGGATGTACACCCAATCTTTACATTTTTAGTTTACTATTTTTGCTACAGGATGTTCTCAATCAGTGATTAGGTAGTTGTGATTCACAGGATGTACACCCAATCTTTACATTTTTAGTTTACTATTTTTGCTACAGGATGTTCTCAATCAGTGATTAGGTAGTTGTGATTCACAGGATGTACACCCAATCTTTACATTTTTAGTTTACTATTTTTGCTACAGGATGTTCTCAATTAGTTATGGATGTTCTCAATCTTTACAATCACATGATGTTTTGCTACAGGATGTTTATCAATAATTACTCTTTCTTTTTTTTGTTTTGTTTTGTTGTGGCTAAGTTTTAATTAATTAAAAAAATGAAGCTATTATTAGGAGTTGATATTCCAACTGAAAAATTCCAAAATTTATATCTCCAGTAGTGAAGGGTGATTGAGAATGTTTATTAATGTTTACAGATTTTTACAAAAAAAAAAAAAAAAAAAAAAACACTGGGGATTTTTCGGGGTCAGGGATCCCCGATCGGGGACGGGGATGGGGCCGGGCTATGGGTCCCCGTCGGGGATCGGGGGCGGGGACGGGGAGGGTAGTCCCCGCCCCGCCCCGCCCCGTTGCCATTCCTACCGATATCTTCGGAGATAACCTCGGCTTGACCGAGATCACCTCGGCGTCATGACCTGGACACGTGGCACCTCGGCTGACACGCCGGCGTCACCTTGCCACGTGTTGGTATTCAAAAATATATCCTCACACATAGTATTACTATTTTAATTATTAATAGTCATAAAATTTACTATTATTGTGTAATCTTTTTTTTGCATTTACACTGAATAATAATAAACCATTGGCATGTTATAAAAATAAAAATGAGTTTAAATTACACTAAAATTTTTCAAAAAATACAATAACCTCTATAAATTTATTAAGATTTAATTTTTTATAACACTTTGAAATATTCTCTCTTTTTTACATTAAAATAAATATTTTATTTTTACTTGTGTATGTTTCCGTATACCATTTGTTTTAAATTTACCAATTTATTATATATATATTTCAACCCATAAGAGAAATTAGTATAATTTACACTAAAAAAACGTGCGAACAAGATTTAAATACCTATAATATCTTATTATTTTATCATAGGCACTGGATTCCCTCCAGTCTCATATCAGACTAAATGGTGTTGTTGGGTCCGTGAAAACCTATCACGAGTCTCGTTTCGATAATCCGAATCGTTTAATATGTAGAACTCGTCGTGTACTATATGCTTGTAAAAAATCACGTTGATCGGATATCGATACCTATCTCATCATATCAGTTTTCTACCAACCGTTTATTTTTTCACCCTCCTTTTTTTTATACAAAATTGATTTGATCATGTAACAATCAACGTAATTTTTTATAAGCATATAGTAGTCAACAAGTTTTACATATTCAACGGTTCGAATTATTTACAGGCATATAGTACTTAACAAGTTGTACATATTGAACGATTCGGATTATCAAAACGAATCCCGTAATAAGTCCCCATAGACCCAACAGTATCTTCCAATCCGAGTTGAGACCGAAGGAAAGCCAGACCTATATCATAAAATCAGGTTTTAAAATCCAGACAGCAATTACACTAATAGTTTCGATCCAGTCAACTCATAAAACCCTTCTGAAACTAGAAAGGGGACAACTGAACAACCCATCACCCAGATGAAATCAAGTTCACCATAACCAGTTGGAATTAGGGCTATTTCTCAATATCGATTTGCGAAATTGCATCTCTGCACGACAGCCACATCCCCCCATCCCCAGATTGCAGGATTTGAATACAATTTGATAAAAGTGATTTTTTATGTCATAATTTTTAAACATTTTGATCAAATTTCTGCGTCTTAAATAACTCGTCGAATAATATTTCAATTCATAATTTTCCATTCTTTATGAATGATCTACTTGACAATTAAACAAAACTAAAAGAGGAGTGAAATTACACATTCTGTTTAACAGGGAATTGTTAGGTACACAATGCCGTTCCCTACAATCATGCAGACATGACATTGAATGTTCTAAAAAGATACAAGTGAACCCATTGATTTTAAGAAAAATGATGGAGCTCAGTGCAATAAGTGGGGTATCAAAGCCACGTTGTCATGAGTTTCAATTATAGGAGCCTCATCGTGAGCGAGGGATTGTTGGGTACACAATGCTGTAGGCAACTATCAATTCGGCATAATTTTCCAGATTGGCAGACCAATGAATGCACATAAATAAATACTTCAAACATAAAGGGTGAAAACTTGTTACAATCAGCAAAATAATAGCCAAATAGAAGAATGCCAACTTTTGTGTTGGAGAAGAGAGGAAAGAAATTAAAAACAAACAAAACAAAAAATCCAAAAAGTGATTGAAGCCCATATTACAATCACACAAATGCCACATTTTACAAAACTATAGATAGATGATACACTATAAAATCAATATAATTACATTTCAGTAGAACATAGATCTGTCAGGTTCCCAGAGGAGCTCTGTCATCTGGCCCGGCAAGCATGATCTGTCATTTTAAGCATTTGCGCAACTAAGAACTTCTCGGGAAAGCATAAATGAGTAATTATACGTAAAATATATTTCAAATAAATCACGAGTACAGAAAGTTTGGGACTCACATTACAGTCGAATGCAAATCTCCGGGCAAGCATAAGGGCTGCATTTCTTTCTCTCTCTGATTCAAATGCTAACACAAAGGAAAGCCCTGCTTTTGCTTGCCAAAAGAACGCCTGAGCTGCAGCGTTCCCGCCACCTCTAACTCCACATAACTAACAGTCGAATAAACAATTTCAGAAATGATATAGACATGGTTTGTTTTCATCAAGGCCCAACGACATTTAAAATATTAACATTTTCAAAACTTGTTTTCTGCGATTTTTAGAGAAAGTAAAAACTAGTTTCACAAAAATAAATATCAAGAAAAAAAAAAAAGAATTTTCAAAAATTATTTCAGCCCCAAAAAAGAGAAAGCTATATGAAAGTAATAAGTGTTTTTTTATTTTCTCACCAAACTAGTTTTTGAAAAAAAATTCAGAAAACATATTCTGAAAACTCAACCAAACATAACCTAAAGGGGAGGTCTCAATCTGTTCCAGTGTCCCAAGAACATAATCCCCAAGAGGATTGGTGCTCAAGGAGCATTTTTTTCATTGAATAACGATCTCTCAAGCAGAAAGGTAAAAAAGAGAATGTGCATCTGGTATTGTTTCCATGCTATTTAGGAAAATGAATCTTTCCAGATTCAATGCCTAACCAACAGAATGACCAAACTAAAAAGGGCTTAAAGACAGAAGCCAAACCAGTGTTTTATTTTTTATTTTTTTAACCTTCTTTTGCCAATAAACTCAATTAAAAACACAATGCTATAATACCTGCATTGAAGTGGAATAGTATTCTTTAGCCACTGTTGCATTGCCTTTACAAAGTTTCATCCTCATTTTTCCCACATGAAGTACATGGATAGACTTCGACGGATGATCTACACCATTCATCTGGGCAATAACTACCTGGAAAGCAACACCAAAGCCATTCCACAATCAAACAATGACATAACTCGTAGCGTGCTAACACTAAGGCTATGTTTGGATCTTGTATTTGTTAAGGTAAAGGAAAATAAAAGAGAAATGAAATTACTTGTAAATTTTCATTTTTTTAGGGGTAACTAACCAAAACAAATGGATTTTTTCTAACATATAAATCCATTTTCTTCTCATTTACAAACCCAACCAAAAACAGGGGGAAAAAATCAGCTTTTTTCATTTCATTGTATTTTCCTATGTCTCTCCTTTAATTTCCTTTTTCCTCCGCAAATCTAAGATCCAAACATAGCATTAAATGTAAGAGGACTAGTTTAATATGCCCTACATGATCCATTACATTTCATCTTCTACAGACAGAATTTGAACTTTGAAATTAACATTGGACTTTGGGATAAATTCAGCCAAGCAAAATAATACCAGAGACAAAAGTTACTAATTTTTTTTTTTAAATTTTTTTTATAATTAAATTAAATAAGAAAGAAAATTAAGGGAAAAAAAGAAGAAGAAAATCAGCATTCCACAAAATTTGGCATTTGGTATGAGGGACTTCCTTTGGGGAGATATTCTTGTCGTTAAAGCTTAATGCCTGAAAATGTCAAAACGGGTGCTCTTGAAGACTCGAATGGTTAGGCAGGCTTGACTTGGTGGAATGCACAAAATGTAGACACGCAAATTTTTTAATTAATACAAGGACAACATACATTGAATTCAGTGTCATGTCTTCGCACCAACGATTCCACATAGTTTCCCAATCCTGCAGCTGTTTACAATGGATCATTGCATCAGTCATTCCAAGTCTACAAACATAGACATAATTTGCACAATGACCTAGTGACTGAATTTTTTTAATTAATAATTTTCAAAAAAGTAATACATAGAACTGGCACAAGTTGATAATTTAAATTCACATATATACTGTTGGGAATACAGGATCAAGACCAAACCGGGATCAATGGGACCAGCGGTTGTCAATGTGATTTTCTGACCATCTAGAATTATTTCAGCTTGCAAAATTCGACCAACATCAAAGGGCTCTGGAGCGTACACTGATTTGGTGGCTCCTGGCATATTGGAAGTCAAATCAATAATACTAAAGGTTAAAGTATGGTATATAAACGAATAATGAAGTTAGAAAGGTTCAGTAGCTTTCCTGTCTGTTGTCTAACATCTCAAAACATTCAAAAGGAAAAGAAATTTTGTATTCTCAGTTTGGGATGTCTCGCGTAAAGGAACAATAAACATTGAAATTCTTCAATTGACGAACAGGTGTTTAATGTCAAATCTATACATAATAGGATTACCTTAAGTATATTAAAACCATCACCACCAAACTTAAAATTCAATAATAAATAAATAAATAAATCATGACTTCAAGGTGAATTCAGCCACTCAAAGCAGCCAAAATTGATATATTTCAAGTTTAAAGAAATATCAAACACAGTGAACAAATATTTATGTTCAGTAAGAACCACGGATCAAATATATTCTGCAGTTTGAGTTGACAAAATTAGCCCTAAAATGACTACTTTAGCCTGCAATTGTATCATATTACCTACACCTCCACAACTGCATTCCTCATCAACCTTCCATATAGGACTCCACAAGTCCATTCATGAAATTCAGTCCTCTAATGGCGTTTGGTAGAAAGGCCTCAGTTATCTTAATTTGCATAGATATTTACTAGATAGAGGCTGCTAACCTTGACTATCTTTTTTTTATATGGCAGCTAGCCTTATAAAGGACATATTTCAAATTTGCACCAACCAAAACATCTAATGTTTGAAAATAATGAAATATGTTTGCTTTCTAAAGTTATTATCTTTGCAAAGAAGTAGGCATACCCCTAACAGAAAGATTGCATTCTCTCCTTTCTGTCACCAACAGCATAGAGTACCACAAATTACACACAATACAATCATACAGACAGCTTGGTAAGATAAACGAAACCAAAAGCCCACTTATATTTATTTGGAAATAAAATTTATAATTTAAACTCCATAGTTCTCTTTCTTCATCTACAGAAAGGGAACATAATACAAGTAAACAAAATTAATTATCACAGGGCACAATATTCTTGGAAAGATCAATTATGTTGGCAAAATGAAAAACATCCAAATAGTAGAACTTCTTCTAATTAAATGTTTTCCACAATATGGTGACATGTAAGAGTAACCGCATTTTGCATGCATACCTGAAATAAGCTCTTTTTTGCCTCTGTCAGCTGTTAAACGATACCACTGAATTGAACATCCCAGAAGTTCTGGAGCACTATCAGAGCAAGCTTGGATCCTCAAATATGAACCCAAAGTTTCAGGACCATCTAATTCATATAAGTGAATCATGTTTTCCTCAACCCTCTCACTCATCGCCAGCTGAAAATAGTCGCAAAAAATAGTGCATGATTTTTATCACAGAACATCCATATCCATGTTACACAGTATTGGGTAGAACTCAACCCTAAAAGCTAGTTCAAGAGGTGAGGGTGCCCTCACGCTTCTATGCTTAACATTACTTTAGTACTTAGGCAAGCAATGTGGGACTTCACTTCACATCCTCCCTCACGCCCAGCATGGTCACTCAATAGCACCTGCGGCATGCAAGTTAAGGGCATGCACCCTCTACCCAGACTTGAGTTCTCTATCTCTAATACCATGTTACACAATATTTGGTAGAACTCAACCCCAAAAGCTAGCTCAAAAGGTGAGGATACCCTTACGCTTATATGCTTAACATTACTTTAGTACTCACAATCCCCGCATATCTACATCATCCAATATGGCTAAAAAAAATGCAGAAAATATGAATTACAAACATTAAAAAATGTTTTCATATCTTTTTTTCTGTTTTGTTTTTGGATGGGGGAACCGAAATATATTTGACCCATTAAAATAGGTTGTGAGAGTTGTATTGTGGGTAATTAAGTATTATTAGAAGACAAACCCTAAAAGCGTTTTTTCTCAAATCAACGGGGGAATATATGGGTCAAATATATGCATGAGCCATCAGAAATGCTTAGCATGGTATGCAGATTCATGGTAACATATGATGAAGAGAGGGAGAGAAGAGAAAAGAGGAGGGGAAAGATAGTATCTATGGGTAAAATTAGTATTTTGGAAAATAAAATTGATGACATAGTCTCTAATTCTATTAGTTGACCTCACAATAGACTAATAGACGGAAAAATTATAATGTGATTTGAAACCTCAGAAGGCAGGATGTATTCTCCAAAACCGCAGGGAGTCAAATCTAGTTTAAATAAGCCTTAGGTGGTGTAGTTGTAATTTACACAATTGAAAAATCAGATTTTTGCACAGAGTAAACAGGTTCCAGAGTGAACCAGTACTCCACAGTCTGCGCTGCTTAAAAGAAGAAATAGATAAGGTTCAAGGTTTACCCTCCCATTTTTTGTCAATAGCATCCTACAGGATCCCAAAATATAAGCAATACTTACGTAGAAAGAAGTCATTAAAAGTAGACAAAAGAGAGACCGAAAAAATAGCAAAACAAACCTCTTTCTGAAGCTGAAGAGAATGTTTAGATTTCTCAGAAAGCTGAACTCTCAATGCTCGAAGCTCATGCTCCATGTCCATCACCTACAAACTTATGTTTAATTCACTTACAAAAAGTAACATTATTCAAAAATAAAAACAAAATTTTGAATTATGAAGGATAGATAAATATGAACCTAGACAAGCTTACTGATCAACGGGAGAGAGAGAAAGAAGAAGATGAAGAAAAGAAAAGGAAAGAAAAAAAGTATAACATATTCATGTTTATACCTTGCTAGGCTGATGCAACATTTTGATACGTCTAGCCTCTTGAACCTCCCTCATTAATTCTTCCAAATCCTAAATATTTAGCACAAAACGTCTATGTTAAAGAAATAAAGACATTGGTATAATGCAAAGTAGCTTCTGGGACAAGAGCACCAAATGAGAAGAAAAGTTCGGATAAAAAATAACTGGTTGTCCATGCAGTAACAAAGTGGATTACCTGTTTCCCTGAAGCTCGGGAAATCCGTTCTTGTTCCTGAAGAGCCTCTTCCACTCTCTGAACTGCTGCTCTGGCATTCTCAATTTCAGCCCGAGCAAAAGCTCTTTCTTCATCAACAAGTTTCTTAGCATCTTCTGAAGCCTACATATGTATTTTAAAATTAAACACACACACACACACACACAAAGGATGTGTTTAATGCATGACAAGAGTTGTGTGCAGGAGAGAGAAAAATAACAATAAACAGAAAGAGCCCAAAAACAATAGCCACTTAAAATAAGTAATCATTAGTAATTAAAAGCTATTAAGGAAGAAACTATCAAGTAGAACCTTAAATACTAAATAGAATGAAGGTTAACATGGACTTCAGACATTTTGAGTGAAGCAATTTATGTTTGTTTTAGTGAAGAAGATAGGATATAGATGTACTAAGGAAAAGACACCAATAATGTTGCACCATTCATATATATGGAGAATGCATGCACGAAATGAAGAACATTATTCATTTCATTAACCATGCTCCAAGAAGGAAGGCTTGGAGGCAAAAAATAAAACAATTCAACCCTACTTCATTTTAAGTGACTACTGTGACAATTTGGAGAATTTGCAGTTTTGATGTGACCATAGTTATAAATTCTACTTGTAACTTGTGAACATGTCAAAGATGTATCAACACGTTCAATTAGGGTCAATGTGTGATATCTCCATCTAAGATGTGTATGTGCTTCTCAATTTGGGGCCACAAGGGTGGTATTGTGGGTACCCAAAACGTGGTTGAACCACATCTAGTAACCAGGGTTGTCTATGGAAAGCACGAGGATATACAACAAAAGGTTCTACCCTTGGACAGGCTACTTCAATCCCCACCCTCATCTATGAATCTTATCTCTCCTTTTAAAAGCCACATTTAATGTGAAAATAAAAATGCACATGGACAATTTCAAACATGTGAAGTGCCCATGAAGAACATGAAACAGCAAGTTATAAAGATATTAAAGTATTTCCAATTATTCCTACTGCTAAATACATACCAAAACAAGCAAGCAAAATATAACTAGTATATTGCAAGAATATTCTTCTAAGTCTATTCTTCAAAGGCATGATTTTATTAAGAAGGAATGATAAAATTCCATATACTGTATATACATAGACACATCAGCATATGCTTTCCCTAAAGGTATTTTAGAACAATTTAGATGCTTTCTTCTACAACTGGATCACAGATGCCTCCATGTACCAAAAGTATAGATTCTATAGATCAAATGCCCAACCACAAAACAATACCAAACTTTTTCATTGTACCTGCTTTAGAAAATTAGCAAGCTTTTTCACTTCTGCCTTTTCCTGAATTAGCTCTCCTTCCCTCTCAGTCAACTGAACTGCTAAAGCTTCAACCTGAAGGATATAATATAACCAGAATCACAAGTTGCCCAATTGGAGAGAACAAAGGAATATTAAAGACAATCATGAACTCAAACCTTAACTACCGTTACCCTCGCAGCAATTTTAAAGGAAAATATATGATATAAAGTAAAATATAACAATTCATACGGAAAATAATCAATATTTTCCTCATTTACTGAACAAAACATACTAAAAAAATAGATAAACAAACAAATGCCCAAAAGAAAGCAAAAGAGACAAGAACAAAACAAAATATCCTGAGCAAACCATCTAATTATGCATAAGGCATAGGCTTATAGCTAATCTATTAAATGACATGTAAAATATATCATAAAAGATTACGACATGTTCAGTAAATTGATTTATCCCCATTTGGAAGAAAGGTGGAGGTTGCCGAAACAACCTTGGCACCCCTAACCCCTAAAAAGGTAGGTGAATACATCATTTATGTGGTCATGAATGAAATAGGAATATGTTCCCTTTGATAACAGGTAAAGTTATAAAAACTATTAACCCTTTCATGTCTTAAGTTTAACAGCTTTAAATGTAGTTGAATCTTGATATCGGAATAACTGTCTGAATTCAGCCATCTCAACCTGATTGGGGCCAACTGTCTATCCCGAGAACATATCAAATTCTTTCTATTTTTATGTGCCATTCAATACCTACCCCAATGGCAAAACCAAAAATGTCATATTAAAACTGTGATGGCCTTTCCATCAGTGTAAGAGAAGATTTTGCACTCTTTGATTGTCTGTTTGAGTTATTTTCTCCAGTCATCCTCTAAGTTGTGCGACTTTGTTAGAGGCCTTCACCAACCCCTTTTTCTATGTCCCTCATTTTTAAATAGTTAGATCAGCTTCCCGTTGCATCAGGTGTTGCACCCATTCCACTCAGTACTATAATTGTAGAAATGTTTTATTAAATCCTTTTCATCTCAAAGAATCATATTGCGTGCTAGAAGTACTTTGCACGTATGTCAATCACAAAACTGAGTAATATGCAATGCTCAAGAATAACTGAATGCTTTAGTAAGCTTAAAGGGTAATATTTAATCCCTTCTCAAATAAATTATACAGTCCAATGGAACAGCAGTGTTACGAACGAATTTTTTGTTTTACGAGTATGAAGTCATTCAATGGCCAACTTTTCTGTGGGGCAAAGCAATAAATAATTGGAAAATAGGATAAAACTAACCATAGCAATGGCTTCCTCTACATCATCCTTATTTTTACCCGCCACGCGGCCTTTTAAGGCTTCCAGTGCATCTCTAAGCTTCTTTAGAAGTACATGTTTCTCCAATGACGCCGCCTCCCTGAGTCTAGCCTGTATTCCACAAATGGGAAGCATTTAATATCACAAAGACTGTCTTCCATTACGACTAAAAATAAATATTTTCAAGTCTAACCAATCACAAAAGTTTGGGTCCGCATCAAGTTAACCGCTTTAATTGTTGGCTGAAAACTAGTAAGGAACATAAACCTATTGCCTTTACATAATCAATCGCTTAGCAGAGCCTAATACCACTAATCGATTGGCAAACCCGTTTTGCAGACTAGGTAAACAAACCATTTGATGTATTGGTTTCTGAAAATGTATAGATAAAACCAACTGTTAAAACTTTAAAATAAATACACAAACTTGACAAAGCCAAACCTCATCAGACAACTTAGCAGCAGCAGCCAAACCCTTCTCAAATTTACTGGCAAGGTCGCGAACTGAGAGGCGTTTCTGCCGTTCCAGCAACTGAGCCGTCTCTCTAGCAACAACCTCCTTCATGGTTAGTACCTTGGCATCCTCTTTCACCTCCACAATCTGGTGATTAAATCCGATTTTGTAATTTGGAAACCGGCTAGAAGCAAAGATCACATCAGCCGAAACCGGATGAACAACCTCCTTCTTCATTGAATCACCGAAATCACGTCCTACCCTTGTCATAATACCAATTTATCTACTCTATCACAAACAAAATCAGAAATTTAACCCACCATTGATGAGACAACTATCACAAATATAGTACAAAACTATAAATTACCAAATGTGTATAGTAAAGTGACTTCTTAACCCAAATTACTACTAATCTGAAAATTGAACCACATTTTTTGAAACTAATAATCATAGATGACCCATATAGAGAACCATAAGAGAGACCATAAACAAGATAGTTGTGCATTCAAATAGAATGTAGGGAGAATAGAACTGAAACCCTAGATGTACAATGTATATGATAAGAGAAACAGGAAAAGAAGATAGAGACAAAAACAACAATAGAGACAAAAAAAGGGTAAGATTGGACTCACAGATCATGTAGTGAATAATAATGTAGAGGAAACAGAACAACATAAACAATGGAGATTTTGGTCTCAGATTCTTGAATCAGATGTGGGCATGCTGAGTGAGTGAGAGAGAGATAGAGGGGAAAGGGAAAGGAGAAGAAGATGAGATGAGAGAGAAGTGTCGTTGTTGGGTTTGCTTGCTTTTTGAAAAGTGTGAAGAAAGCAAAGAAAAGCCAACCAACAACCTCTTCTTTTTTTTGACTCTGTTTTAATTTATTTATTTGTTTTTTAAGGCCTCTAGTCTGTGTTTGTTTGTTAGCAATGTCATTATCAAATTTAATTATTTTATAATATAAACAAAAAAAATATGTTAAATTTTAACAACTTTATTCTTTTTTTTTTTTTGAACAATAAATTTTAACAACTTTTTTGTGGACTTTTTCCCCTTTTTTTCAGGGGTTTTTTTTTTTTTTTTTTTATCGAGAAAAAAAGGGTTCTGTGGTGTCATCACAGCCCCTGCAGGCCCTGACCCTGGGGTAGTCGGTTGTCAGTCAGGAATTAACCCCCACCAAGTGGGGGACCCACCACTGAGGCACTAGCAGAGCTCATTAACCGCCCCAGCCACGGACAAATGTCGACCAGAGTACAACGCGAGATCTCAAAGAGAGCCCCTGGCAAAGCTAGAATTTTTCGCACCCCCTTAAGAGTCGAACTTGACTCGGGTTGGTGAAGGCAAATGCAGGTGTGTTTGGAAGTTAATTTTTTAAGTAATTTTTTAATCTTTTATGAAAAAAATATATAGAAAAATAGAAATAATAATTTATTAATTTATTGTGATTTTTTTGACCTTTTTAAAAAAAAAATTAAAATCAATATTCTCAAATAAGGCCTCAATCCTCCTTAAAATTTTATAAAATTATTTAACTGTTGAAAATAATGTTAAAATATGATGTTGTATAATAATAATTGAAAATTATTAAATAGTGAATAATAACTAAGGTAAGAGTTATTATGATAGGTAAGAGTGTATCCAACGCTTACTTAAATCTTGAATCAAATTTAAATTTAGGTCAAGTTTCGCATATTGTAAAAAAATTAAAAAGTTAAAAAGTTATTTAAAAAGTCAAAAAGTTAACACTACTCACCAAAAGTCAACAATTACGGCTGCACAACTCTCAATCCTAATTTTTCTCTACAAATCAATTTTTACAATTTTTTATTACACATTTTTTAATAAAAAGTCAAAAAGTTAATCCAAACATCTATATTTTCTTCCTCAATTTTTTAGTCCAAAAAGACAAAAAATGCACTTATTTAGGACATTCCAAACAACCCCTTAATAAATTACGCTTACTTTTTCTCTTTTAATTTTGGCATCAAACCTATATCAAATAAGGGGAAAACCAAAGTTTCATCAAATTGAGGAAGGCTTTAGCATTCATCAAATTTTTGAAAAGAGCCACTGCGTTTCACCGTACACCTAACTACCGACCAATTGTCCTCCCAAACAACTAGTTACTTACAAAGTTGCCCATTGCTTTGCCCATTGTTGATTGTTCTCTCGGTTGTCCTGACGATTGTCCCCCTAGTCAACTGATTGTTTGATGAAACTTGAAAAATTAACATTGGAACGCGTGGTATCAAATGAAACTTTTCATAAAATCTTTACTCAAATTTGATAAAAAAAATTAAAGTAAGCATTGGAGATGTTCTAAGGAAAAATAAAATTGTTCATACGTTTTTAGTGTGTTCGGAAATTTCATAAAAAAATTAGGGTAAATTACAAATACACTCCCTGAGACTTGCTTAAAATACGAATTATCCCTTGTGCTTTGGAAAATTACAAATACCTTTTTGTCAGAATTTTTTATTTAACAGAATTAATTGAAAAAGTGAAATTTATAACTGTTCACCTATACAATAATAAAATTATTTGAATTATTAATTGAAATAAAATTTTAACATTATTAAAAACTGTTAATTAATTTGATGATCTATAAATAAAAGGATCTATTTGTTATGAAAATAGAAACCTTAGGGGGCATAATGTAATTTTTAAAATCATAAAGGGTAATTTGTAATTTAAGTAAATCTCAGAAGTGTGTTTGTAATTTACCCAAAAAATTAAACAGTTATTACAAGTTATACATCACTTTCTCTAAAAAATCAAAAAATAACAAAAAAATAAAAAACCCAAACACCCTCTAAAAAATATACAAAACATAATTGGTCAAACATTATGAACTTTTATATTAAAATGATTGAATTATTCATGCACTCAAATAATGTCTGTGAATAAAATCCGAATAGGGTGGGCATCCACCTCATAGGATGCCACGGTAACCATTTGAATTCAAAAATGAATTTGTTCCCAATATACAATTTCTTATTGGTCCAAAATGGTAAATTACAGCAAATAGGTTAAAAGCTTTATTTTTTTTTGAAAAAAAAAAAAAAATTAAGTGATTTAAAAAAAAAGGTTAAAAAAATAAAAAATTGACTTTTGAAAAAGGTCGGACACCCCACTATTTTTCATCAATAATAAAGGCCTTATTTAGTTTGTTTTTTAGAAAAATTTTTAAGAAATTTTTTTTATTAACAAATTTTCAAGAGTAATTAAATTAAATAATTTTTTTTAAAAAAAATCTCAAAATTTTGTTTGATTACCTACTTTTCAAAATCACTTTCTCTCTCATACACATCAAATCAATCACTTTTTTTAAAACTCTTCCCAAATTTTTTTTTTCAAAACCAGTTCTGAAAAAAGACAAAATAAGGAGATATACCCAACAGACTCTGCGGTGAAAGAGAACCATGACAGCCTCTCATAGCCTTACTCTGCCAAGGAAACTAAGAAAGAGGGGACGAAAGAAAAACAACAACAATAACAAAATCAATCTTCGAGAAAGAGTTGCAAGAAATGCAAGAAAAGCTTTAACAACTGGGGATCGAGAAGGAACAAACAAAAGAGCTATTGAAGGCCGAGAGAAGACTTTGAAGGTTATGGAAGAGGAGCTTTTCTAAAAAAATACTCTCGATCATTTCTCTCACAATTTGCATGCATTCTTTTAAACTTGTTTGATTTGATTTTCAATTTTTTTACTTTTAAATGCACCTAAAAATATAAGTGAAAAATATATATTAAAAGCACTAATCAAAGACAAAAAAAAAAAAATGCAGACATTTTTTATTTAGGTATTTATTCACATAAATACATTTAGATTAAAGTAAAAAAAAAAAAATTGCCTAAAATATATATTTTTTTACTAATGAGAAAAAAAGGGGGGGACTATAAAACAGTTTTTTGAAAACAAAAACTACCATATTTGGAGGGAAATTCTGTTTCATCTCATTTGCTGCTCCAACTAACATCCTCTCTCTCTCTCTCTCTCTCTCTCTATAAATATATAATACATACTTTAAAATTCAAATACGAACAGAGCTAGAGAAGCAAGTTAATCAAGTCAGGTAGGCTCCACTCTCTTTCTCTCTCTCTCTCTCTCTCTCTCTCTCTCTATGCCTATAACAGATGGGTTTCACTGTTTCTTCGAATCTGAAACTATTGTAATCAATTTCGTGATGTTTTATCATAAATCCTTGATGGAGATATATGCACATTTTGATACATATGTTTCTTGGCACCTCTGTATTACCGAATTCAATTATTAAATAATTTTATTGGCATCTCTGTTCTGGATTTCTGATGTTTTCTTCAGAATTCTTGATTTCTTGTTCTTGAATGTTTCTCTATTTCCTTAATTTGAAAGTTCTTGATGGATGAATTTCAATTCATATATATATATATATATAT